AGTCCACGAAATTAGAAATAGAAATTAAAATCAGCAGATGAATGTAAATTTCAATGCATTGGAAATATAAAACAATAAATAGTGGAATATATCATATTTAAAATTAAAATGCAATAGACTATAAATAGACTACAAAAAAAAATTCAATAATAAATATGAATATTTTGAATTTCGAATTTAATAAATAAATAACAAAAATACACATCACCTAATGGTTAATAAACCCTTCAAATGACTAATATTTATTGGACAGATTATCAAAAAAAAATTGAAAAAATAAAGTCCACAGAATTAAAAATAAAAATTAAAATCAGCAGATGAATGTAAATTTTTAATGCATTGGAAATATAAAATAATAAATAGTGGAATGCATCAGATTAAAGATTGGAATGCAATAGACTATAAATAAACGACATAAAAAATTTCAATAATAAATATGAATATTTCAAATTTAATAAATAAGTAAAAAAAAAAAAACCCCATTACCTAATGGTTAAAAATAATTTTTTCATGCACCACAAATTTATCATTTTAATAAAATTAAACCTCTTAACAATTAAAATCTGTATTCTTTTGGTCATACCAAAAAAACAGAGACTGGTCTAACATTATATACATGCAAAAGAGACTCCTCAAATGACCAATATTTATTGGACAGATTATCAACTAAAGAATTGAAAAAATAAAGTCTGCAAAATTAGAAATAGAAATTAAAATCAGCAGATGAATGTAAATTTTCAATGCATTGGAAATATAAAACAATAAATAATGGAATGCACCAAATTAAAGACTAAAATGCAACAGATTATAAATAAGCTATATCGAAAAAATTAAATAATAAATATGAATATTTCAAATTTAATAAATAAGTAAAAAAAAATCATCACCTGATGGTTAAAAATAATTTTTTCATGCACCACATTTATCATTTTAAATGAACAATGAAGAAAAGAGCATCCAAGCCGATGCCAGATAATGCACAGTCAAACAGATACAACTAAAACAACGATATAGTCAAAAGGCCAGCATACTTTGGGAAACCAAGACATGATATAAGCAATACATACACATCGAATTCAACTCATAAGATCAATAAAACAGAAAACCCACAAGATGGAAAAAACTTACTTTTGAGAAAAGAATGGATTAGCCAAAGAAAGTTCACTTTTTTTTCTATCTCAAGAATAGCATCCACAATATTACCGAGTCTAAAGGAATTGGGTACACCTAAAGTGAATGTCCTCCGTTTACCTTTCCTCTATACTTCAAGTATGCAATAAGGTTACAGCCAAATCCCCCACCTCTCCACCAAAATAAATAAATAAATCCTAACGGATTGTTCTTCTTCATCTTACTACTTCTTTCAACTGTTCCCTAGTCAATTCTTTGAAAAAAAAAACTAAATTGAAGTCACTAAATTGGATAGATTCAATCACTTACCTAATAAGAAACAAAGCAGTGAACCAAAAAAAGGCATAATAAATTAAAACAACAAAAGGGTATTGGTACTGACCAGGAAAGTATTTTCCGACAATGCGGAAGATGCGGTTTCCAGATTTATCCGAGCCCTCAAGGCGGAAAAACTGCAGGAAATCGAGATCGGAGAAATCTTCGTCTGAGAATTGCTGCGAACAGTCGTGCCAATTCTCTTGTTCATCGCCTTCTCTATCCTGTTTGGACGAGAAAGGGCGCGCGTCGATTCCCAGATCGGAGGCGGGCACCAGGACGGAGAAATTATTGGAAGATGAACTTCCCATCTCGTATCGCTGGAGATCTTCTTCTTTTTGATCAATTCCTGCAACAAGAAATCACCATCAACACAAAGAAAGAACAGAAAAAGGGAAAAACAGCAAAGCAATG